GCCACAACGGTGATTTTTTAATTGTCTCTAGAAGTTGTCTTATAGAATTTTTGAAATCTCTTATGGATATTATCATGTCAACTACAAATAGGGATAATTTGACTTCTTTCCTATATGTGTCATTTTAATTTCCTTCTCTTGCCTTATTGCTCCAGCTAATGCTTCAAGTACAGTACTAAAAAGGAGTGAGGACAATTCACAGCTGTTTCATTCCTGACTTCAATGGAATTTCTTCAATCTTTCTCCATTTAGGATGATGCTGACTGTGGGTCTTACATCCATACCTTTTGTCATATTGAAGGATAATTCCCCTAGTTCTAATCTCTTTCAAACTTTTATTGTGAAGACATATTGGATTTTGTCAAAGACATTTTCTATATCTATTGAGATGATAGTATGATTTTTGCCTTCAATTCCCTTTATATGGTTTGTTACATTTATTTACTTGTGAATGTTGAGTCTTGTCTGCATTTTGGGAATAAAGTCAACTGGGTCATGGTGTGTAATCTTTTTAACATGTTTGTATTCAGTTTAGAAATATTTTATTGAACATTTTTTAATCTATGTTCATCAGGTATACTGGCCTGTGGTTTCCTTTTTATTGTTGTCATCGTTCTGACACTAGCATCACAGAAGGAGTTTGGGAGTGTGCCTTCTGGTTTGTTTTGTTTTGTTTTGTTTTTTAATAGTTTAGAAGTATTGGGTGTAGACTTTCTTTGAACATCTGATAAAATTATCCTATGAGTCCATCTGGCCCTGAACATTTTTTAATTGGAATACTTTTTATTTCTATTTTATTCTACTCATGTGTTGTGAGTCTGCTTAGGCTGTTGACTACTTCTTGAAGTAATTTTGGTGAGTTGGCTGAATATAGAAAGTCATTCATTTCTTTGAGGTTTTCCAACTTAATGAAGTGCAAATTTTAAAGTATTCACTTATAATATTCTGAATTTCTTTGGTGTCTATTGCAATATTTCCCTGTTCATTTCTGATTCTGCTAATTTGGGTCCTCTCTTTCTTTCTTTTGGTTAGTAAGGTCAGTGGTCGGTCAATCTCGTTTGTCTTCTCAGGTATTAGATTTATGAATTCTTTGTATTGTTTCCTTGTTTCTATTTCATTGATTTCAGCTCTAATTTTTTATTGTTTTTTGCTGTCAAATGGGTTTGGATTTGGTTTGTCCTTGTTTTTCAAATTTTTTGAGTTGCATCATTGTTTATTTGTACTCTTTCTGGCTTTTTTTAATCAAAGGCATTTAGAAATATAAATTTTCCTTATAGAACTAAGTTCAATATGTCCCAGAAGTTTTGTTGTGTTTTTTTTCATTTCCATTTACTTCCAGGAAATTTTTATTTCTTTCTTAATTTGTTCTTTGACACATTCACCATTGAGCAATGAATTGTTTAATCTCCATGAGTTTGTGTATTTATTACATATTTATTTCCTGTCAATTTTAAGTTTTATGGCTTTGTGGTCAGATAGTACACATGAAATTATTTCAGTCTTTCTGAATTTGTGAAGATTTGTTTTGTGTTCCAGAATGTTGTCTATTTTAGAGAAGATTCCATGTGCTGCTGAATGTGTATTCTTTGATTTTGTGAAGTCCTGAAGTCCATTTAATGTATTATGTCAGTCAATTATGACGCTTTTGGTGTTTTTGCTTTTTTTTTTCTGCCCAGATGAGCTGTCCATTAGAGACAGTGTGGTATTGAAATCGCCAACTATTTTTTTATTTAAATTAGAAAGAAGCCTGCTTCACATGTCAATCCCAGCTCTCCCTCCCCTCCCCCCAATCCCCACCAATCACCCCCAACCCCCCACCCCATTCCCCTTCTGCTCCCTAGGGAGGGTGAGGCCCTCCATGGGGGAATCTCCAAAGCCTGTCATATCATCTGGGACAGGACCTAGGCCCTCCCCCATGTTTCCAGGCTAAGAGAGCATCCCTCAATGGGGGATGGGCTCCCAAAGTCCATTTGTATGCCAAGGATAAATAATGATCTACTACCAGAGACCCCATAGATTACCTAGGCCTCTCACTAACACCCACATTCAGGGGTTTTGGATGAGTCCCATGCTGGCCTCTCAGCTATCAGTCTTGGGTCCATGAGCTCCCCATTGTTCAGGTCAGCTATTTCTGTGGGTTTCACCTACTCGGTCTTGTACCCTTTGCTCATTACTCCTCCCTCTCTGCAACTGGATTTCATGAGTTCAATTCAGTGTTTAGCTGTAAATCACCAACTATTAACAGTAATTTATTAATCTGTGCCTTTAAATCCAGTAGTACATTCTTTATGAACCTTGGTGTACCAGAGTTTGGTGAACATATGATTAGGATAGTAAAGTCATTTGGGATAAGAGTCCTTCTTTCTAATCTGATTAGTTTTAATTTGAACTCTGTTTTGTCAGATATTAGGATTGTGATGCCTGCTTGATGGAGTACTTTTGTCTATCCTTTTGCTCTAATGGGATATCTATTAATAAAACTAAGAAGCATTTTTATAGACAACTATCATGGAAATATTAAGCTATACAAAGTAGGGATGTCCCATGATATTTTATTGAAGGGGAAGTCACTTACATGAGAAGCCAAGAAAGCCGAGAACCAAAGGTCCACTCACTGCTCTCCGAGACTGGACCAGAACCCAAAAAGCACATATCCTTCCCCCCAGCACTTTTATCCCCCATCCCCCACCCCTGGTACATTCTACTTACCTGTAACCAACCCAAATGGGCGTGGTCAGCGATACAGGTACATAAGATCTCTCCCTACAGAAAACAGATACATGATTTTGTTTCTTGATCCATTCAGCCAGGCTGTATCTTTTGATTGGATAATCAAGATAATTAATATTTAAAGTTATTGTTGAAATGTCTGTGTGTTTGTTGCAGTAATTGTGTTGTCATTTCTAATGTTGTGTTGGTCCAATGGTACTTTATGTTTTAGTAATTATGTCTTTATATTTATTTTGATAGCCTATTCACTACACCCATTCCTCTCTTCAGCCTGAAATATCAGTTTGTTTATTTTCTTTAGGTTTGACTTGTTGAATATAAAATTTTAAGGTACTTAGATCATGGAAAGTTTTATTCCTGCTTTAACTATGTCAGGTAGTTTTGCTTGATATATTAGTCTAGTTTGACCATCGTGGTCTTTTAGGATGTGGAATACATTACTCCAGGCTCTTCTGACTTTTGAAATTTCCTCTGAGGGGAGCTCACAGACCTGAGTATGACAGCTGGGGAACCAGCATAGGCCACAAGCCAGGCCCTCTGAATGTGGGTGTCAGTTAGGAAGCCTGGACAGTCTATGGGACCTCTGTCCTTGTTGTATGAATGTGCATCTTTTGGTATATGCCTAAGAGTAGAATTGATGGGTCTTGTGGTAGACTGATTGCCATTTTCCTGAGGAATCTCCATACTGATTTCCAAAGTGGCTGTACGAGTTTGCACACCCACCAGCAGTGGAGGAATGTTCCACTCTCTATATATCCTATCCAGCATAAACTGTCATTGGTGTTTTTTATTTTAGCCATTCTTACAGGAGTAAGATAGTATCTCAGAGTTATTTTGATTTGCATTTCTCTGATGGCTAGGGATGTTGAACACTTTCTTAAGTGTCTATCAGCCATTTTAGACTCCTCTATTGAGAATTCTCTATTTAGTTCTGTACCCCACTTTTTTAAAAGATTTATTTATTATGTATACAGTGTTCTGTATGTCTACATGCCTGAAGAAAGCACCAGATATCATCAAAGATGGTTGTCAGCCACCATGTGGTTGCTGGGGATTGAACTCAGGACCTCTGAAAGAGCAGACAGTGCTCTTAGCCGCTGAGCCATCTCTCCAGCCCTGTACCCTACTATTTAATTGTATCTTTTGGTGATAGGAGGAAAGAAAATTTCAGTAAGTATGAAAGTAAAGTGTGAAATCATACTTATATTTTGGTTGTGAGCCTAGCCTTTAATGGCTGAGATATCCCTCCAGCACTGTGAAATCTTATCTCACTGACTGCTTTGGAGGCAATGAGTGAGAGATTTTCATAAATTTTATAAAATACTGGATTCAGGAGAGTATTTGGGTCTACATACATAAGTGTGGATATTATTAATAAATAGTTCTTCATGTAATTTGAAGATGGTATTAACAAAAGAAAGATAACGAATAAGAGTAACTAGCACAACACAAATTAGTAGTGTTTCTAAATGCCAGGAAAGAAATTTAATATTATAAAACAACCTACAAAACAGTGGTGGAGCCAGGCATGGTGATGCCCACTGGTAATCCTAGCAATCAGGAAGCCAAGGAAGGAGAGTCATGAGTAAGAGTCCAACCTAGGATAAATAGCAAGTTCCGGGCCAGCATAGGCTGCATAGTACAACCCTGACTGAAGAGGAAGGGAAAAGTGACAGAAATAGGAATGGAACCAGTCAACAGTGGTTTCGCAAAAATTAATAGAGAAAACATAATCAACTGATACCACTTTTTTTAAAAAAACATCAAGCGAACTCATGTATTTTATCAAACACTATCCTTCAGGTTAATTCCCTCAAAGCAATTGATTCTATGAAGAGGAAGCTTAAATATTGGGCAAAGTGCCAGGTGGTAGTGGCACACACCTTTAATCTCAGCTCTCAGGATGCAGAGGCAGGTGGATCTTCGAATTTGAAGCCATCCTGATAGACAGAGTAAGTTCCAGAACAGCCAGGGCTGCACAGAGAAACTTTATCTCAAAAAAAAAAAAATCAGGCAAAGTGATAACTCACCATAGTCTCCAACAAGACAAGACAACATACTGAGAAAACCCACAATCATAGGTTGCTAACAGACATGCACATGCACACACACACACACACACACACACACACACACACACACACAAGTTGTTTTAAAATACATTGGAACAACACAAGAGATGAAAAAGTCTAACAATAATTCACCCTTCTGGCCACAAGTTCCTAAGTTCCGTACACCAACGAGACTAACCACATATCTGTTTATCACAGAGCCATGGCAACAACAAACTGTACCCTTGATGAGCCTCAGCCTAAAAGAAGGCAAGATCTCCAAGAGATGCTGACAGAAGTGGGGCTGTCTGTTGAATACTGGCTGCCTAAGCTTCAGGAAGACCTGGGCGTGACCTGTGTCCAGGCCTTACAACACTTAAAAGAAAAAGACCTCCAGAAGCTGAAGTCCCAGACACAACACACATGGGAGAAAAAGGCCCTAGAGAAGCTGCTTGACCTCTCACAGCCAAATAGTGTTGCAGAGTCCCAGGAGACTCCAGGACAGATGATAAAGAACAGGCAGGGGCAAGCAGGACAGGCACTGCAGGAACTGAGGGCCTTGCAGTCACAAGGGAAGCACAGACAGGAAGAGGCAGTGAGGAGGAAAGAAGCAGAGCTGAGACAAGCAATGGAGATCCCTGAAGAGTGCTGGCCTGGACCCGAAGTGCCCCTAAAAGACGTCACTGAAACAATGGAGAGACATCTCAGTCACATAGAACAGACACTGGCAAACAGTGAAAATCTCGCAGATAGAGACCTGGTAAGATGGGCATCTGGAGGGTTGGCCCTGCAAGGAATTTATAAGACCAGCGACCAAAGAAGCCTGATTCAGAAGAAAGAAGAGCTACTCAGTGTCCCTATGGAGTTTTCGCTTGTTGGCCCAGAGCACGGCACACGGATGGAAACAAAGGAATTTTCCTCTTTTCAAGAACAAGCTATGTTCACACAGACTATGGAGAAGGTGGGCTTCAGTCCAACCTTCTCAGCTAAAGGAGAAGGCTGGGGACTTAATCTAGAAGCTGGTATGGATCAAAGCAGACATACAGAATCTGGGGATACTCAACAATCACATTCAAAGCAGTCTTATTTCTGCTCAGCCAAGTTTAGCTACATCCCACTGGCCACCTGCCACTTTCCCATCCATCAGCTTCAACTCTCCAAGGCTGCGCTCCAAGAGCTAAAAACTATTGACGAACTCCTGAATCAAACGACACACTCAGACAGATTCCCCTTAATGAAGCACAGGGCTGAAAACTTTTTTCACAGGTTTGGCTCTCATGCTAACCAAGGCCCACTGCACCTGGGGGGAATCTACTGTTGGAAGGCCATTTCAGAGGGTTTCAAAAGAGAGCAATTGGCCGATGTAAAGCAGCAGGCAGAAGACTCCTTGAATATTTACATAAGGGGCAGCTATGGTGGCTTTGGAGTTAAAGCTGGTACAACCGTGAATATGTCAGACTTGCATGCAAAAACAGTATCTTACAGTTCAACTCATCAAAACTTTCAAACAAAGGTGAAACTCTCTGTTGCCCAGATAGGTGGACCAGCAGAAGCAGATGGAATTGCTCAGTGGACAGCCGGTCTTGTTGCTAGCAATCAATCATGGTCTGTCATTGACCGGGGACTTCAGTTGGTACCTATTTGGGACATCATCCTCTCTAGCCACAGAAGTGATTTTAAGGATGCCCTTCAAGTGGCTAACTGCCTGAAAGACAGCTACACTGCCCTGACTGGACTCACTGCCCAGATTCAAGAAGGAGAGGAATTTCTTACTGCTGGAAAAGAAGCTAGACTTTTCCTAGAGGATGTGAAATCCTGGGAAGTATCTGATCCTGAAGAACAGCTTAATAAGTTGATAGACTTCATGCAAACATTGAGTCAAAAAATAAAAAGTTATAACATTTGGATTAATACATGCCTCACAGATTGGGATCTGCAGAATTTTCTAATAAACACTGTCAACTTTTGCAAAAATTCTCCCACTTACAAAACTCAGTTTATTAAATCTCAGTTCCGCAGCCTTCTAGAACCTCATGTCTACAAAGTAACAAACTTTCCTCAGGCACAATCCATTATACAATGGATCAATCAGTCAGAGTCAGAAGAAGAACAAGTCAAAATTCCCTCATTTTCTGAATTCATTAAAAACTTAGAGAAAATCCACAAAAACCTAATGGAAGTGAATATAAGAAATGAGTCCCCAGAAACAGTGGAAGAAGCTAAAAGAATGGCTACATATGAGGTGACCACAGCTCTTGGCTCCTTCTTGAAGTACCTCAGAGAAACAGAGCAACCAGACATACAGCTGATGTTACTCTCCATTGCAGCTGGTGCAGGCTATCAGCTGGAAAACAATATTTTTCAGCATCTTCTGGGGTGTAATGAGTTAAACTTCCTGTTGGATCAAATGCAAGCTATCCAACACAAATACCAAGAACTTAAAAATATTTGCAGCTACAGAGGACAGGCATTCCTGGTGTTCACAGCTCTCAGAGCCACAGTGGAAATCACAGATATTTCTACAGAAGAGAAAAGACAACGTTTGACATTAATAAAACAACATATGGGACAACTGTTGTCTGAAGAAGTTGCACATGTTCTCACAAAACATGGAGCACATCATGATTGGGAAAATCTGGAGAACGATTTGAGATTACTCATTGATGGGGACTATAAAGCCACCATTCCTTCCTTGAAAATGGATGAGGTAAAAAAACAATTGCAAAGTCTTTGCCCTGAAAAGAAAGAGACTTATAAACAACAAAATAATGAAAACGACAAAAAGGATATGATAGAAAAAGGACCTTTCCTAGACTTACTCCAGCGTCTAGGTCTAGAACATCACTACCCTAAAAGGATGAGTAGAGCTGACTTCCATTTGATCTACAAGACTTCTGTGTACAATACACAGCCAAGATCTGAACAGGAACTTCCCTTCTATTTCCTACAAAAACTACTGATGCTAGATTGTGGGTTCAGACATCTGGTCTTCAAAAATGACAAAAACATAGAAAACCAGATCTCTGTAGTTTCTTTCGATCATGAAAATGAAGATTTTGATCCATATGAAGATATCATTAAAGAAAATGACAGTCTTACCTATCCTTCATCCACTGAGTCCTGGACCCACATTCACCCAATGGACATCCAAATGGCCATTTTTCACTGCGCAGATGATCTTGCCAGGCAATATATTTTGTCCAAACTTTCCATTTGTCAATTTGCACTCCCTCTTGTGGTGCCAAATCCCACCACTTCTCAGGTTGAATTTTCTCTCTGGTCTCTCAGACAAATTAGGAGAAGCTGGCAAAATGAAAGTAAATCACTACAGGACAAGAGCTACAGTCACAAGAATCAGCAGATGTGCCGTGTTTCCACTCCCATTGTGTCCTTCATTAGAGTTGGAAATGGCCTCTCTGCTTCCAAGTCTCAGATCATGAACTCTCTCCTCAGTAAACATAAGCATGATGTGTTTTTTCACAGACACTGCCGAGGAAGCAGCAAAGACAGTCTTTTGATGGAAGGAGTGGTGGAGATCTGCTGGTTCTGTCCTGGGGGCCAAGGCGAGGACAGATTTGACAAGTGTGTGACCTTCACCAATCTTCATGGAGATGCCAAGGAACACAGACAACAACTCAGCTTCCTGCAGGATGTCTCTTCTCTCATCGTGATCCACATGTCAGCTTCTGATGACAATAAAGAAAATCAAAAACTTGTCAGACACCTCTGTCAGTCATCAAGACCTCTAATATGTTTGATTGATGACAAAGAAAAGCTCATAGCCAATAATTCTGGTAAAAGAATGAGAATTGGCATCAGGAATAGAAATGAGGCAGAATTAACAGAGGAACTCACAAGTGCCATCAAACATTTTCTAGAACTCTCTAATACTGCTTTCAGCTTAGAGGACTGTTCACAGATGGCTCAAAAACAAGGATTCCTTATTGATGAGGACCAGGAAAACTGCAAGGAAGCCAAAGAAAAGGCACAGACTATAATGGCCCTCCTGGAGGAATCCAAGTTATCACAGACAAAAGAAAATTTATTACCCCTTCAGGGACAACTTTGGCACCTTTGGTGCAAGAAGGACAAAGAATTCTATCATCTGAGAGAAAAGGGGAATCGGAGCATTGAACAACACAAGAGTGAGATTGAGACAGATAAAAAAATAATTCGATGTCGGCAACTGGAAAAAGCCTTTCCTCTCAATGATTTAATGCGCTCTGTTCTTGAAGTTCTCCAAGAATACTCAGAAACTCATGACAAACTCTACTTTTTGCAGTGGCTAAGTCTGTTTTTTGACAACCTGACTACAGAACACCTAGAAAAGTTGCATGAAAAGCAAAGATCTTTGTGGTTAATGGCACAAAGAGAAAAACAAAAAGCACCAAAGAGCAGCTCCCTGACACTCTGGCAGAAGCAGATAGAAGCCATCTCTACTGAGATTCTTAACTGCACTTTAGGAATTGAGCACCTTCTCCGAGAAGTTGGCCAGATCTATGAAGCTCTGGAAGAAACTTCCTCCTCTAGAGATAGCCTTTTCCTCTGCCTCCCCCAAATAGCTGCAGACCTGATGGTAGCTGGTGTTCCCATTGAGCTCATGGATGGGGATGCTTCATATGTGCCTCTAAAGTGGGTGGCAGCTGTTTTTGACAAGATCTCAGAGAAAGTTGGAGATAAAAGGCTGTTTGTTCTCTCTATCCTTGGCCTACAGAGCTCAGGGAAGTCCACACTACTGAATGCACTGTTTGGGTTACAGTTCACAGCCAGTGCAGGCAGATGTACAAAAGGGGCCTATATGCAGCTCCTGAAGGTGGAAGAAACATTCACAGAAGAACTTGGCTTTGATTTTGTTCTTGTTGTAGACACAGAAGGACTTCGGGCTCCAGAACTCAACAACAAATCCCAGAATTGGGACAATGAATTGGCAACCTTTGTCATTGGCCTTGGAAACTTGACTCTGATAAACATTTTTGGGGAGAATCCCTCTGAGATGCAAGACATCCTACAGATAGCTGTCCAAGCCTTTCTAAGGATGAAACAAGTGAAAATCTCCCCTAGTTGCCTCTTTGTCCATCAAAATGTGGGAGAAGTTACAGCTAAAGACCAAAATGTGGAAGGGCGAAGGTGCTTAGAACAGAGACTGGATGAAATGGCAGTAACAGCCGCAGAACAAGAAGAGTGCTCAAATGTATCCCACTTCAGTGATGTCATTAAGTTTGATGTCAATAATCATGTCTACTACTTTGCCCACCTCTGGGATGGCAATCCCCCAATGGCCCCTCCTAATCCTCGTTATAGTCACAATGTCCAGGAACTGAAGAGTGTAATTATTTTGACTGCCAAACAGGAATCCAGAGGTAGCATCATGAAGATCTCAGATGTCAAATTTAGAGTTCAAGATTTGTGGAAAGCCCTAGTAAATGAGAACTTTATTTTCAGCTTCAGGAACACTAGAGAGATCATGGCCATGAGCAAGCTGGAAACTATGTATAACCATTGGACCTGGGAGCTAAGGAGTCACATGTTGGACTTTCAGAACCAGCTGATCAATCAGATTCAGAATGGGAAAATTCAGGCACTCAAAACAAGCATATTTGAGGCTCCAGTCACAGAAAAGTATACAGCAATTAAACAAGAACTTGAAAAATATTTTAATGAAGATCCAGACAATGAAATACTGGTTCAATGGAAATCAAATTTTGAAAATAAGCTAATAATCTTAAAAGAGACACTTATTTCAGACACCAGAAGGAAAGCCAATGAACTTGTTCATTTGAAAAAAAATCAAGAAAGGCTGGATAAGAAAAAGTCAAGTTATGCAAATGAATTATTGGAAAGGAGCAGAAAGTTGGCTTTAACTGTAAAGGGTAAGGAATTAAATGAAGAAGAATTACATGAAAAATTCGATCAACTTTGGAAAAAATGGGTCTGTGATGTGTCCTCAGATCTTCCTCCAGTCATAGAACCTGACATTGACACAGATTCTGAAAACATTCTTTGGGACTATTTCCAAAAGGAGATAAACATGGTGGACATACTAATGAGAAATTCTGGTGATAAATTTCAAATAAATTATGATGAACATGTAAAAATGAATAAAAAGTATAACTTCATGACTAGGACACTAAAGGTCTGTGATAGGGAATCCATTAACATGACTACTGACCGTATTATTTCAAGATTTAATGAAATGATCAACAATATTCATAGGCAACAATGTGATTACAATACAAGCTATTTCCATGAAATCCTGAGGATAATAGAAGAAGAAGTAAAATCTGCACCTACTGAGGAAAGATACACATTTACAAGCAAATATATCCTTGAGTTGTCATTATGCTTATTCCAAAGAGCATCTAAGAGTTTTAAGGAAATGCACAAAGCATTCAAGAGAGCAAATGATCCTGTAAACTATCTGGAGAGGAAGAAAGATGATTTCTTCATGAGTTTTAAGATATCCTGCCAAGGTGCCACTTCCATCAAAACATTTGTTGATTTTCTTTGGCACAAGCTTACCCCTGCTATCTCTGCCACCATACGGGGGAAAATGGTTATTAAAATTGCTGGAGCAATGAGAGCAACCTGCCCTGCATTCAATGGAAACAGGGCTAACCTGGAGAAACATATTCTCATTTCTCTGGCAGAAGAAGAAAACTTTGATAATTACTGGCAGTACCTTCATTATACAAAGTCCTTTTTTAGCAGCTATATTGAAAGCCGTATTAAACAATACTGTTCAGAGGAAGGAAGTCAAAAAGTAAAGACTTTTTTAAAAATAAGTTTAGGTGACATCAAGAATGCCATCCTCTCTGCCATTCATGAGTCCACAGCAGTAGCTAAAGATAAAGGCAGCACTGCTTCTGGCTGGTTGGATTTGTTCTGTGATCACTTAGGGAGCAACCTGATTTTTCCAAGAAAAGACCTGATAAGCATCGAGCACCAGGAGATAAAGGATACTGAATTTCTCAAAGAAGCCATGAGTGCAGCTTTGGATCCTGAAATGAGGAAAGTAGAAGAGGACTGCTCAGGGAGACCCATAGATGAAATGGTTCCTGACATTGAGAAAATTCTCTCTGAACATCTCTGTGGCTGCTGGAAACAGTGTCCTTTGTGTAATGCAATTTGTACAAACACCATTCCCCAGCATGAAGGAGACCACAGTGTGCCTTTCCACCGTCCTCAGGCTGTCAACGGATGGCATAAGCATAAAACAGACTACTTTGTCATTGACTGCTGTACCAGTTCAGTAGCAAGTGACCGCTTCATGCTTTTGGGAAATAAACGAGAAATCTCTTATAAGAATTACCGGCAGGCAGGAGGGGATTATGCCACATGGAGTATTACTCCAGACTCATCCACCCAGTCATACTGGAAATGGTTTGTCTCACACTTCAGATCAAAACTAGAGGAAAAATACCAGAAGAAATTTACAGACACAGGTGAAATCCCAGAGGCATGGGCCAAAATCACAAAGGAGGATGTGCTCAATGACTTGAAAGAACAATAGTATTCAGTGAATAACCCAATATCAGACAGAGCCACAGCATACCTAAATACTTCTAAAACTCCTCCTCCTAACAAGAGTCTCCAATATTTCCATTTATAGGATGAAATGTGGAAGAGCTTGAAGCTTTCCCTGTAAAAATGTCTTTAATCTCTTTGTCTCAATTTCTTCTGGTTTAAAATCAAATTATCAGAGCTAGAAAGATGGCTCAAAAGTTATGAGCAGGTGTTGTTCCTGTAGAGGACCCAGTTCAGTTCCTAGCTTCCACTTGGCATATCATAACCATCTGTAACTCCAGGTCCAGGAAATCTGATGCCCTTTTCTGGCCTTACACATGATATACATATATAGATGGAGGTAATCAGAACATAAAAAATCAATTACCAATATATGATCAAATAAAATAAAATCCATTTAAAAGACCTAAATCATACTTCAAATCATGGCTATGAATATTTTTATAGTATATACATTTAGAGACATTCCTGTCAGTTAAGGCAGACATACCAGGAAGGGCAGGAAAAGAACCACCATGGCCTGTATATATAGTAAGTACATCTGTAGCATTCTACATCATTGAATCTCATGTCAGTTACTCACTTACAAATGGGCTCCAAACATTAGGATATAGACTATATAGAAGTAGAGAATATAGTGGGAGCTACCATGGGCTGAGGGAAGTATAGGAGAAAGGAGACTGTTCAAAGAACCAAAAGTCTCAGACAAAAGGAACAAGCTCTGCTAACCATGGTTAATAACATACATTTTGAAACTGCTGAAACAGTAAATTTTAAATGTTCTTGCACTGAAAAGTGCTTAAGAGATGAGATGATGGGTATGTTTATTTGTTCTTATGTTTACATGCTTATTTGATCATTCCATAATGTATAATAATTACTGGGTTGAACCCATTAATAAATATAAATATCAATAAAAACATTAAATTTTTTTTAAATGTGAGTTTCTTAAGTGAAGATCAACAATTATACCAAGAAGGTTTTCAGTTTTTTGTTTGTTTGAGGAAGTTATTTTGAGGGGCTGTTTTTATTTTGTTTGTTTTGAAACAGGGTCTCATGTAGTCTAACCTGGCCTCAAATTCAGTGTGTAGCTGAAGACGACCAATAACTTTTGGTTACCAAGCCCAATTTATGTGGTGATAAGGATGAAATCCAGAGCCTTATTGTATTAGACATGCACTGTACCAATTGAGCTGCATATCCAGGGAGGTTCTTGGAAGCTTTGAAAGGATTTCTCTTCTTAGAGGGAGGGACATATGAATACAAAGTCTAGGGGTTGAGACTGGCTAAGAACTACCTCCTTAAGTTTAAGAATGCTTTTCATTTGGATTATGGAGAAAAATCTGTAAAGCACACAATTTTTATTTCACCTTCCCCTCAAAGTTGCAATTCTCTTTATTCCAACACCTCAGTAATATCTAAGGAAATAATTCAACACTTTACATTAGTGATGTGTTACATGAGTTGACAAGAGAGTGGAGGAGAAGTGTGACATTATCCTAGATACTATAATAATCACTAGTACTACCATTGTAATAATAGTACCTGTGGAAATATAGTCGTCTTAAATAGTAGATTTTGCATGCTTTTTGAGGGGATAAGTTAATTCCTATAAATAAAATAGAAACAGTGCAAAACAGAGAGCAAGTCTGTATAAGCATAAGTTATTACATTATAGTACCTCTCCTTACTCAGTTCCTTTCTAACAACAACTTATTAGGACACTCTGAATAGGCTTAAACAGCTTCATTCACCCCTTACTAGGAATAATATTCACTATGACTCCTTGAGAAATCACATTGGACGATATAGTTAGTCCTTAATAAATGCACTTGTAATGTAATAGTTCAAATGCACTACAGCTTATTTAAGTCTTTTGGGAATTTATTAGTAGTTACAATGATTCCAATATTAATCAAATAAACATTTAACAAAATCACTACAATTATTATTTTATCAGTATAGAAATGCTGTCTTGTATTCTCAGAAGCATAGTTTTATATACAAGTGTTTTATTAAAGAAATGGTAGGCAAGAAGAGAAAGGAACCAGGTATAGTAGTACATGCTTATTATCCTAGCACTCAGGATACAGAGGCAAAGAAATCCAGTGTATGTAGTATCCTGGACTACACAGAAAGTTTCTGTCTCAAAAAAAAAAAAGGTGGGGAGGAAAGGAAAGATGGTACATGAAGTTGCAAATTTGTAGATATAAGTCCTGAGATCTAGGGAAGCTACCTTGCAGTTCTAATTAAGAGCACTAAACTCCAATGAAAGAGATACCTTGATAGAGGAAGCCATTCTGGGGTTAGGGAGAAATTCGGTACTAGAGAAATTCTCAGGAATCCACAAAGATGACCCCTACTAAGACTCCTAGGAGAGGGTGTCTGAATAGGCCTTCCCCTTTAATTGGATTAATGACTACCCTAATTATCATAATAGAACCTACATCCAGTAACTGATGGAAGCAGATGTAGTGACCCACAGCCAAGCACTGGTTGAGCTCCTGATGTTTGGTTGAAGAGGGGAGGAAAGGTCATATGAACATGGAGGGTCAAGACCACAATGGGAAAAACCACAAAAACAGCTGACCCAAGCTAGAGGCAGCTCATGGACTAAGGACTGAGAGCTGGGGAACTTGCATGGGACCAAATTAGACGTTCTGAATGTGGGTGACAGTTATGAGACTTGATCTGGTGGGGGGGGGAGACTGGCAGTGGTATTAGATCCTATCCCAGGGGCATCAACTGTCTTTTTGGAGCCCACACCCTATGGTGGGTAACCTTGCTCAGCCTTGACACAGCGGGAAGGGGTTTGGTCCTGCCTCAACTTGATATGGCAGACTTTGTTGACTCCCCCAGGAAGGCCGTCTCCCCTCTCTGAGGAGTGGATGAAGGTGGTTGAGAAGGATAGGAAGCAGGGAAGGAGAGGGAGGAGGAACTGGGGTTAGTGTGTAAAATGAAAAATAATTTTTTTAAATAAGTAAAGAGCACTCAACTCTGAATTTAGACTGCTTAGCTATGCATATACTCTTATGAGTCATGGGACCCTGGAACAATCTCTGCTTCAATTTCTTCATCTACAAAATGATACCATTCCAGGTATGAGAATAACTTAATAAAATACACATGCCAGCACATGGTATGTGTTTTTATGTTAGTAGTAACTGGTACCAGCAAAAACGAATAGCAAAAGTCACATTAGCATAATTATATAGGTTTTTAACATTATAATTATTGTTACTATTATGCCTTAATGTGTTTATGTTCATATAATACACAATTATAATTCATGAAAAATCAGGTCAAAATTCTACATTTGGAACCAAGTAATGGAACTATTATTTTCTGTTTTTTCTCACTAAACATTATCTCTTTAAAAAAAAAAAAGAAAACTTTCAAGTTCAAAATGAGTATGAAGAACGGAAGAAAAGCAGAATAAATGCATCACTAAATTTCTTTGATAGCAGCTATCAGATAACCTCTAATGTTATCAATACTTTTAATATAGTCCAAAGGATTTGCATTTATTCTAAATTGGAAAAGATGTGAGCCAGAGCATGTCCTTCTATGAACAGCCTCCTATCAACTCCTCAACAGCAAAACAGAAAAGTTTCCTCCAAACGTTTACCTCAAGGAAGAGCTTGCTGGCCACCTAAGGAGAATGCAGTAGCATCCACTCTTCCTTCAGGGGTCAAGTTGAAGTTCAAATCTGCCTCAAACCCACAGAGCCTCTTCACTGGAGGTCAAGCCCCTTCTAGGGCTCTCGGTACACACTGAGCAAGACACGAAGACCCAGCCATGCGACCTAACACAGTAGAGTTTCTACCTGGTTCAATAAAGTTTATGAAGCCTGCATCACCATTCGGTTTTTCCTTTACCAAAGCTTCCTTCTGCCTCTCTTTGTTCACAAGTGTTGATCTCTAACAAGTATCTCTCACAATGCTTTCAGCACCACCCTCTGTATAAACCAATCTGTGACATCCTGAAGGCCCTAGTAAAGACTGCTAAATACAGAAAAGTTTGTTGTGGGTCATAAAGATGTACCATAAAAGGAAAATAAGGGCAACCTAACATTCTCTTCCCAAAATGCAGGAAGAGAACCTATCCTTTCCAGGCCTTCCACAAGTTACCACCAGGCAGGAAGTGAGTACTAGGCCTATGCTAATTTTTCATTGATGTGGCAAACACCTGAGAAAACAACTATGAATGAGGACGGATGCCGTCTTTTGGGCTCAGTTTCAGGGGTTTCTGTCCGTGATCACTTGGCTCCATTGTTTTGGTAAGGTTGAATACCATGGCAAGAAGGATATGACAGATCAAAGCTGTTTATTTAATGTTTGCAAGGAAGTAGAGTGGGACAAAATACTATTCCTTGAACATTGGCCCCAGCGACCTATTTCCTCCAAATAGCCCCTACCTCTTCATATGTCATTCAGCTACAAATTTATCAATGGAGTGACCCATTTCTGAGGTTAGTACCTTCATGCCCTAACAACCCCTCAAAAGAGCTACCAAATGGTAACCAAGACAACCAAAGTAAGCCATCTGCCCTCTTTAAAGTATTAGAGAGGAGCAAGAAACACAGCTGCTGGGTATGAAACTTATTAGTAAGTGACAATTAGACAGAAAAGCTAGACTATAAAGAGAAGTCAAACTGATGAATAGAGAAAGAGCAGATCTTTTCCATTAGCCTTTGAATTGCCGTCAAGGTGAAAAGTCAAGGCATTGTAAAGGCATTCCTTAGGAGGAGTGAAATGGAGTGATAGTTAAATTGAGCCTAAATAGGAGCCTGGCCTTGGCCCCGTGTGTTTCATGCTGGAATTACTCCCATTAATACTGAAGCTTTATCATGATACGTGGTGGAAGATACCTACAGATGCAAGTAGAAATTCTCTTCCCCCACCCACAGGCTTTCTTTTTATGACAAGCATGAGGCCTAACCTTAAGAGTGGTTTATTCCCCAGTGAGACCCCTTGGAGAAAACTAATTTTTCATTTGCAAGTGGTTATCAGTTAGAGGTAACTTCTGGGTTAAGAACTGGGACATACGTTCACTTCTCCTCTGCAAAGATTGTCTTAACACACCCCATGGGAAGAGAAAACAGAAACTGTGATGTAAATTTGAATGGTACAAAAACTACAGGAGAAACTAAACATCTTAGTAAGAGTTTCAAACACCCTTACAACTATTATTTTCCCTGCCACTTATGTATTTCATAATCTGTTACTATCATTCTTACAGTCTCCCAATTTACTTCTGAGATCTTAGTTCATCCAGAGTCCCCCTCAGACAACATGAAAGTTGCAGACCCTTCTGCCACCACCAGATGGTGGTAATGTATTTCATCAGGCTAAAGAATCCAAGATACTTCAACTTCAGTACTAAGAAGAATTAAGGCCATATTATTCTTTGTTGTGGTGGACTATCCTATGCATTACAGCTCTAGATTCTATGTATTGCATGCTGATAGAATTCCCAACAGTCATGACCAAAAAAAAAAAAAGTCCCCAGTCATTGCCACATAGCTTTGAAACATTTGCACTGCAGTTTTACATAGCCAGGTGTGGTAGCAGAACCTGTAGTCCCAGCACTCAGGAGGCTGATGCAAAATAATTGAGAATTTGAAGCCAGTCTGGGTTACGAGATGAAACACAGTCTAGGCTACAAGATAAAAGCCTATTTCCAAAAAAAGAAAAAGAGGTAAAGTTGGGGGGAAGAGAATATACAATAAAACCCAAAAGAATTTTGAATAGGAAAATAAAATCAAATGCTACTGGAATATTTGAAAATCTGGGTTTTTTTCTTTTTTATTAATTTATTTTTTACTTTCTAATCCCGTTCCCCCTCCCTCCTCTCCTCCCACCCTGTCTACTTCCCCTGCCCACCTCCCATCTGCTCCTTGGAGAGGGTAAGGCCTCCCCTAGGACATCTACCCCATCATCTAGTTGAGGCAGGACAAAGACATCTCTCCACCACCCTTACTCCTGTGTTTAGGTTGGGCAAGGCATCTCTCTGTATAGAATGGTCTCCACTAAGTCAGTTTGTGTACTAGAGTTAGATCTTGGATCTACTGCCAGTGGCCTCATATTGCCCCAGTCACACCATTGTTACCTAAGGAGTCTAGTTCAGTCTGATACAGGTTCCCCATTTTTCAGAATGGAGTCGGTGATATCCCACTAGCTCAGGTCAGCTGATTCTCTGGGTTTCCCCATCATGGTCTTGACTCCTTTGTTCATATTATCACTCCTCCCTCACTTCCACTGTACTCTGGGAGTTTGACCCAATGGTTAGTTGTGGATTTCTGCATCTGCTTCCATCAGGAAGAGGGTTCTAGTTCCTCTTGGTTTGTGGATTGTAGGCTGGTTATCTTTTGCTTTATGTCTGGTATTCACTTATGAGTAAGTATGTACTATATATGTCTTTCTGGTACTGGATTAGCTCACTCAGGATGTTTCTTTCTAATTCTGTCCATTTGCCTGCAAAGTTTTGGATGGGTTATTTTTCTAATAGAATAATGCATTCACTTGAAAATTTCAAAACTGTGGAGAAACATTAAAAATGTAAAAATCAATCCTTCTATGCAATTTTTAGGACTCATTCTCCTTCCAGGTTAAAAACATAATTTTATATACATGGCAAGTTTACACACACTTACCTATCAGTCTCTTTTCCCACTAAAAATCTACTATGGATATCTTTCTAGATCAACACCTCTATCATATTCCTGTATATATAATTACCAGTTCCATTCTGGAGGTACCTTAAGTTCCTGAATTTACTTCAAGTAAAATTGTAGTTAACATGTACAAACATATAACTTTGCACAACTCAATACCTACAGTGTTTCACACCAAATACTGCTTATAAATGCATAATTTTGCCATGATTCAGAGCTTTATAAAGTGAATTAAACATGGATCTCTTCCAAGAGATGTATACAAGTTATAGCAAAAACACAGAAAACAGATTAAAATAAGGTTATATCATTTCAATGCAAGATGAAAATGTTAGCAAAAGATAAACAAATAATAGTTTATGAGTCAGGAATGTCATGAAATATGAGTCTAGGGGCAAAAGTAGTATTAAAGTCAGTCACAGCAACCTTTTCTGTGTAATAGCCATAACAGTCTGTTCCTATTTCTCCTACTCCCAGTATGCAGCACATAGATGGATTTTTCTTCTTCATGTACTCTATATCTAGTACAGAACCTGTGCTTAATGGACCTTTAGTACACATCACACTTAATGGGGGTCTTATTAGAAGTCCTATAACCCAGAGATCATTTTCTACAAGGAAGAAGTGATAATCACATGAACTTAAGAAAACTATCGATGCATATTCAAATCCCTCTGGCTCTCCAAAACTCAAAGAAAAATCAGGAAACAAGGATAAGAGAGGAAGAGGGAAAGGTCAGTTGTCACGCGCTCTCCAACCCTTTCTCTCATCTTCTAAAAACCTGTTTTAAAAAAAAAGGAAGGAAGGAAGGAAGGAAGGAAGGAAGAAATCTCAGCAGCCTTGAAGAAGGGTAACCTTGGACTACAGCTGAAATCACGTACAAGAACATTTTTCTCTCTTTATTCTATAACCTGATATCCTATCTAAGTTCCCATGCATTGATTAACAGGAGAAAAAAAAATATTAACTGTTCAATCTAGCTTAAACTTAATTCAATCTGACAGTTTGGACGTATATATTCTGGGATGAATTAAGTTTCTATCAGATAAAAATAATGCTTGTTCACTCAGACTCACCCTTTCCCTGCTCCTCTCCCTGAGGCTTGGTGGAAAGAATGTGGTATATGCAATCTCCTGGCACTCAGCAGCTCAACTACTCTGCATTTTACGTTATAATAGCGCCATCTGCTGATCACTGGACCACAGGTCTTTTTGCCATCTAAGTATCCCGCAGGATAACCCTGCTGAATTGGCTAGTTAGCATGGCAGTTCTGTCATTGCAGAAATTATTATATTGGCTGCAGAGCCCCAAGTTTATTGCTACATCACCCATCCTAAAAATGAGTCCATCTACCCATACCACCTGTGCTGACTAGTATTATGTCAATTTGACACAAGCTAGAGTTACCTGAAAGGAGGAACTCCAACTGAGAAAATGCCTCCATAAGATACTACTGCAAAGGGGAAAAAAAGATAATCACTAATGCCACATCTGACAGAGGGCTGATCTCCAAAATTTACAAAGGACTCAAGAAGCATGTGTCCAAAACACCAAAAGATCCAATTAAAAAGTGGGGTACTGAACTAAATAGAGAATTCTCAACAGAGGAGTTTAAAATGGCTGAGAGACACTTGAGAAAGTGCTCGACATTCCTAGCCATCAGGAAATGAAAATCAAAACAACTATAAGATACCATCTTACTCCTGTCAGAATGGATAATATCGAAAACACCAATGACAGTTTATGCTGGAGAGGATGTGGAGAAAGGAGAACACTTCTCCACTTCTGGTGGGAGTGTTAACTCATACAGCCACTTTGGAAATCAGTATGGAGATTCCTCAGGAAAATGGCAATCAGTCTACCCCAAGACCCAACAATCCCACTCTTAGGCTTACACCCAAAAGATGCGTATTCATACAACAAGGTCATCTGTTCCACTATATTCATAGCAACATTATTTGTAATATCCAGAACCTGGAAGCAACCTAGATGTCACTCAACTGAAGAGTGGATAGAGAAAATGTGGTACATTTACACAATGGAGTACTATTCAGCGGAAAAAAAACAATGGAATCTTGAAGTTTGCCGTCTAATGGATGGCATTAGAAGAAACCATCCTGAGTGAGGTAACCCAGTCACAAAAAGACAAACATGGTATGTACTCACTCATATATGGATT